TCTTTAGAATCCTGAACATTCTTCTGTTTGGGCAATCTATTCTGAGTTGAATGCCTTGTTTGTCAGGAGTATCATCCGGAGATGCCCCTATGGACTTGCGACAGTTCAGGGTGCTCAAAGGAGATGAAAAGTGTGGTCCTGGATGCGAACTGGCGCTGGCTTCACAATGGTGAGTACACCAACTGCTACAAGGATGGTGACTTTGACACAACCTTGTGTCCAGATCCAGTGGCATGTGCAGAGAACTGCCATTTGGAAGGCGGGGAGAAACATATGTAAATAACCCTGCATTCATTCATGCACCTAAGAAGCTAAGCAGCTTGCTTGTTCGCACAATTCCAAAGATGGCGGAGCGGCCGCCAAACCCTTTCAACCTGTTCCAGGCAACTCGAAAAAGCACTACAAGTCTACTTACGGCATCAAGGAGATCGATGATGGCATCCAGCTGAACTTTGTGACCAAAGACAAGTACGGCTCCAACTTCGGCTCCCGCATTTACATGCTAGATGGGCCTGAAAAGTACACAATGTTCAAGCTGAAGAACAGGGAGTTCACCATGACTGCAGACATGTTCTTCATGCCTTGTGGCCTAAATGGGGCAGTATACTTTGTAGAGATGGATGCAGATGGTGGTAAAGAGCGTGCAACAGCTTCTGGGGGTTCCAACACTGCTGGAGCCAAATACGGCACTGGGTATTGCGATGCTCAATGTCCGCATGATATGAAATTCATGGAAGGCAGGAAAGTTCTCTTGGAGCTACAAAACAAAAGACCATAATTCCTCACTACTATTACTATTCATCATGTTCAAAACGTTTGGATCTGCTTGTTTTCCGCATGATTGGCTAGGTTCACGCTTGATGTTGCACTGACATGTTGGCTTGAGTGCCAGGCAAAGCAAACGTGATTGGATGGAATGGGAGCCACACTCCTCCGATCGGCAAGTGGGGTGCCTGTTGCGCAGAGATGGATATTTGGGAGGCGAACTCAAAGGCAACAGCATACACGCCACACCCATGCTCCATTACCGGGCCCTATACGTGTGAAGGCATCGAATGTGGCGACAACAGCAAGGTTGGCCGGACTGTTTGGGGTTCATTAGATTTGTTTGTTTGTTTGTTTGTCTGTGTGTGTGAAACCCTTAGAATCACAGGGAAGCAGTTGATTTGTTAGCAGCGGGACCATCCATGTACTGTGCGCGATGGTCCAACGAAGCGGCCACAGTACATGTGGATATCACGGCTGATCACCGTGACGTACCTGCAAATTGTGATGTTCGTACCCACGATTCCATTCTAGAGTCTTGGAAGCTGTTTCAGGCTTATGAGGTCTTGCTGCTGTCAAGGGCTAATGCACTCGTCATCGATGTCGTCGCCTTTGGTAACGCTACAGCTTTGAGGAGTTGAGACTTTCATTTCAGACCGCCTTTACATATGTTCACCCTGGCTCCTCAGGCTTTTCAGTTAGGCTGGCGTGTGGCAAGCCGCAAGTCGTGTCAGTACGCAATGTGTTTTGGAAGTCGCAGTTCCTGGAGAAGAAAGACTTGGCCACAAAGCGTCCAGGCTCTGCGCCTGAAGCAACGCAGGATCCTCCCACACGCCATAACTTTGGGCTCGTTAAAGGCGATTCTGTACGTAGCCTCGACAAGAAGTCGGAAACATAAGCAGAGGATGATGGTCAATAAGGACATATAAGAACTATTGCTGAGAAGATGGGTTAATATATTCATATATATATATATATTCATATTATATTGTTCCTGAGTTCAAACCTCATGGGTTACTTATGGGAACCTTGGTTTCCTCCTATCACACTCCTCCCTGGTCTTATACCTTCGTTGGACCGAGTGCTGGACCGGTTGAGCTGGCGGGGCCGCCTGGCGGAGTCTACCTCCCTCGGCCCAGGCTCTTCGAGAGGAGGGCGGCGAGGCAATGGATGGGATGGACGGAGGGCAGCAGAGATGGTCATTCCCCTCAACGTGTTTTTTCTCTTTTTGAGGACAAGAGTGGAGACTGATTTCATGGAGCGATATGGAGTGTTTATGTTGCTTTCATTGATTTATTGATTTTGCTGCTGTTTCCATTTTTTGGCTAACAGATCTTTTTCGCCCCTCAACCAAGACTATACCTTTTGTTGAACGCGCTCCCGGTCGACCGGGCGGACCGATGAACTCGGGGCCAAGCCGCGGGGCCAGGATCGACGCGGGACCTGGTTGTTCACCTGTGTGGTTAAACGAGCTAAGTTCGTGTGGTTGAGTCCATGTGAAGTGTTTTTTTATTTTTCCGTAGAAACCATGTTTTGTGGTTTTTTATGATCTCCATTTAAGATGGATTACTCTTTCTGGCCTGTGTGCCTATGCCATTTCCTTTGCTACTGCCAATGTTGGGAGAGCAGCAGGTTTTCCGATGTTCTTCCTGAGACTTTTCCATTGCTGAATCCCTTCCACCTAATAGCGACGGCTCCACGTAGTAGCGATGACCTCTTTCCAGGCCTTTTACGACGACGTCGTCGCCGGAGGGACCATCCGGGGGAGGCCAGCGGCAAAGCGCGGAGTCGTGGACCCGGTCGTGATCCGGACGCGCCAGATCTTCCTCTGGCTGACCAGCAAGGGGCGGTTGAAGGCAGTCCAATGTCACAGCTCAAAGAAGAACTTGTGGAATTGCAGATCGCCCTGAGAGGATGAGACCAGAGTTTATGCCATTGGCCAAATTTTTCGGAATGTCGGGACGTCAGCCCTTTGCAGCTGTCAGCGCTTTGACCGATCAAACTTATTCACCAGTTTTGTTCTAGAGCTTCCAACCGTTGCTGTTTTGAAGATACTCTCAGTTGTAACACTATTGTGGCCCTTAGCTTACGGATCGCAGTTGGTGAGTTGGCTGTGGAATTTTCACGATGTTCCACGTGTTTTGCTCTAAGGACATCGCCTTCCAGGTGCGCCAGTCGTGTCCGGCCAGTCGTGTTTTGTTGTGCGTTGAATGCTGCTGGCTGCTGTGGCATAGAACGTGCGTATAGTTTGGAAAGATGAAGCTGGCGCAATTTTTGACCACTTCTCCTTTGGTCATCGACAAGCCACCAAATGATTTCATGCATGTAGCTCATGTGCAGGTAGGCGATTTCCCGTAGGTCCTTAGGTTTTGTTGGCTGTGGCTGATTCATTCTACCTGTCCATGTTCGCCTGGCTTGGGAACGTGCGTGTCCAGAGTCGACGGAGTAGGCTTGCGCCGTACAGTAGCTATGCCAAGACCTGACGAAATATTGCGCCTGACTAGGCCGCCTTCGGGCAAGCCAGAACGTGCTCCATTTGGTTACGTTTCCCCTTTCATCCTTTCCCCTTTACACACATTTCTTTCTTTTTTCGTTTCAGTTCCTTTCTGCCTTCATGTTCCGCCATCTCACTCCGTTCTTTCTGCGCGCAATGGTCCGGCCCTCAGCATGTACGAACGCGCTGACCTTCAACCCAGGTTTCAGGTCGCCCAGGTCTTGACAATGTCTGGTTCATTGGTTGTCCCTGTGCACTTGGTTTCCCTTCATCGCAACCACATACACTGGTCTTGTCTTGTCTCCTTCTCATGTCTTCATCTTTTTCTTCTTTGCGCGCTCACATTTGCACGCCCTTTTTGTATGCATGCACGCATGCATGCGTGTATGTATGTATGTATGTATGTATGTATGTATGTATGTATGTATGTATACATATATATGTATGTGTGTATGTCTTTATGTATGTATGTATGTATGTATGTATGTATGTATGTATCATCTTTTTGTATGTATGTATGTATGCGTGCATGCGTGCATGCGTGTACGCATGTACATATGTATGTATTATGTAGGTGGGTAGGTAGGTATGTATATATATATGTTTATGTTCGCATGTTTTTTTGTTTGTACGTTGTATATTGTATGTTGCGCGTTTGTACTTTTGTATTTTGTGTGTTTGTATGCTTGTATGTTTGCTGTTTGTTTGCGCACCTGAGGTGAAAGACCTCAAGAGACAGAGGACAAAGCACCTCTGTGTCTACAAGCTCAGGAATGGGTTCCACACCGACACCCCCTCGCCCACACAAGCAGGGGAGGCCCAGGTTGGATCGCAGGAGGGATTTCAGGTAGGTTTACACCTGGAAGGGACCTGGGGGTGTGGAGGAGAAGAGGAAGGAGGTGAAGATTGGATTGAAATTCAACCAAGGTGGGGAGGGGACGAGCAGGAGGTGGTGTGTGGTGTGTGTGGACCCCTGGAGTTCCTCCAAGTCCAAGGAGCTGCTTTGCAGGGTGGCTGCGAGAAATAAGGAGGATAGGTTTACACCCACTTCCTTCCTTCCTTCCTCCCTTCCTTCCTTCCTTCCTTCATTCATTCATTCATTCATTCAGTCATTCATTCATTCATTCATTCATTCATGCAATCAATCAATCAACCAATCATTCATTCATTCATTCATTCATTCATTCATTCACTCATCCATCCAATCATTCATTCGTTCGTTCATTCATTCATTCATCCACCCATCCATTCATCCTTTCATTCATTCAGTCATTCATTCATTCATTCATTCTTTCATTCATTCACTCATTCAGTCATTCAGTCATTCAGTCACTCAGTCAGTCACTCATTCACTCACTCACTCACTCATTCATTCATTCATTTACTCATTCACTCACTCATTCACTCACTCATTCAGTCACTCATTCATTCACTCCCTCACTCCCTCACTCATTCACTCCCTCACTCACTCACTCACTCACCCACCCACTCACCCACCCACCCACCCACCCACCAACAACCAACCACATCAACAACGCCAACAACCAAAAACACCAACAACTGACAACGCCAACAACCAAAAACACCAACAACAAACAACAACCAATCACACCATGAACCAACAACAGAAACAAGTAACGACACCAACAACCAACAACGCCAACAACAACCAACCACACCAACAACCAACAACACCAACAACACCAACAACCAACAACAACCGCCAACCACTTCAACAACCAACCGTCAAAAACACCAACAACACCAATCACAAACAACATCAACCAACAACACTAGCAACCAACAAGAGCAACAACCAACGGCCAACAACACCAACAACAACCAACAACGTGACCAACAACCAACAGCAGCAACAAGTAACAACACCAACAACCAACAACAGCAACAAGTAACAACGCCAACAGCCCACAACGCCGTCCACCCACAACACCACAAACCAACAACAGCAACAAGTAACAACACCAACAACCTACAACACCGTCCACCCACAACACCAACGACCAATAACAGTAACAAGTAACAACACCAACAACCAACAACACCAACAACTAGCAACAACCAACAACACCAACAACAACCAACCACACCAACAACCAACAACACCTTAACCAACAACCAGCAGCGCCAACGCGCCATCAACAGTACCACCATAGCTGTGGTTGTCTTTGGCGGGCAAAATAGGACCTCTACACTCTACAGACTACCATGTTCTTCGGCGTGAGATGTCTCGAGAGCGCAAGCAGGCTGATCTCACTAATCATGCCCGCCCAGCTGCTTCATGTTCAGATTTACTGTATCAATACAAGCCAGACAAATCATTGAGAGCTGAACCGACTCAAGATCCATGCTGAGAAAAAGGTTCGCCGTTGAGGTCTGGCGTGGACAACGACTTGTTCCACCAAAAGGAAAATCAGGGCGCCTCAGGTTGCCGCCGGTTGTGGTTGAAGCTTGAGTTGGAAATTTTAAAGCTTTTGTATTTCTAGAGATTCTAGGTTTCTCTTCTGTTAGGAGAAAAGGTGAAGCTGAAAGGCGTTGCAAGTTTTCGTGAGAGCTACTTGTAACGAAAGGAACCTACATCGTTGGCCATTTTGGGCTCAAGGTGTGCAATGCATCATGTATCTTCGCGCACCACTTCCCCAAGCGCCTCCAGATCTATGATATCAGTCTAATTCAAGTTGTGTAAGGGCAGAGTAAGCGCGTTGTTTGATGATTCAAGGAAGGTTGTCAAACGATAAATACCCGAGTCAAGTCCTGAGCGTGCCAAGATCCATGCTGGCGAAAAGTTCGCTGTTAAGGTCTACCGACGCACTCATCAGGCGCCTCAGGTTGCTGTCGGTCGTTTCCCCTTTGGTGCGAGAAAGGTTGGAGGCGGGTAGAGCGGCAGATGAAAGGTCCTGCGAGTTTTCTGTTGTGTTTTGGTTTGTTTGTTTTTTCCACCCACAGCGAAGCTTGAGGTGTCTTCAGGAGCACCTTTGGAGCAGGTTGGAGCAGGTTCCTGAAGGGAGGGTTGCAGGCTCCGTTTTTGCGCATTTAGTTTCGAAAAATCATTGCGACGCGGTACTCCACTCAAACCATAGCAGCACTTTTCTTACATTTTTTGGTTTTTGTTTTTTCGGCGGCCAGATGACGTTCCGCAGCATTGCAGCAATGAGCGCGGTGATGTTGGTGGGCTTCCTTTGAATCTTTGGACGTGAGCCCGCCGGCTATGCATCAGCTGAAACTTGATGGTTTGTGACATAGCTTTTTGAGAACACACAACATGTTTCTAGCGGTTTGGGGCTCTCCTTGTGTGTTTCATGGGGCTGACATGCTCCAAAAGATGTGCATTGTTTGCAACGAAGTAACCTGATTCGCATCCTAATGGGACAACTCAGATTCTTAACCAGTAACCAGTTCAGCGCAGGAGCAGCGGTATGACGGAGTTTGCGATAAAGATGGTTGCGACTTCAACTCATTTCGCTTGGGAGACGGAACATATTATGGTCGCGGCAAGAAATTCGCTGTCAACAGCAGGAGACTTTGTCATTCTCATGACATGTTACATTGTTGCTGCCGGAACAATACAACGACTCCAACCGGGACGTTGCAACATATATATATATATATGTAGTATATACCCTGGCTTGCACAATCTAGTATCATGTTCCTTCCTTCAGGAAAGACGTGACGATTGTCACTCAATTCATCACCGAAGGCAACACAGACGATGGAGATCTAATCGATATTAGAAGGTTCTACGTGCAAGATGGAAAGGTCATTCCCAATTCGAACATTTCGATTGCGGGAGTGACTGGAAATTCCGTCACGGACAAAGTCTGTGCAGATATGAAGGCAGGAGTCTCTATTTTTGCACAATTGAATCCACTGTAACTTTTGACTTGAACTATGCACTCATGAGCAGGGCATTGAGTGCATTCTTTTGTTTGGTTGCATACAACACATGTCTTTTGGATGAATTTTTCGTTGTTTCTGTGCCAACCCGGATCGGTGCAGGCAGCCTTTGGAGATATCGATGACTTCACTCGGCAAGGCGGGTTGAAGGCAATGGGAGAGGCCTTGAACAGAGGAATGGTGTTGGTCATGTCGCTGTGGGATGATGCGGAGTCTTTGGCAGCATGCAGCGCACTCGTGTTGAAGAACAACAATTGTTCTTGACCGTCTTGCTTCCTGTATATAAGTCGTAGCAAGCAATCTGGAGGCTGCTGTGCATCTTTTTGTGTTTTGGTGAATTGGACAATGGACAGCTCTGCAGCAGAGGAAGCCAATATGCTTTGGCTCGACTCCAACTATCCACCCAATGAGGACGTGACGGACATGGGTGACGGACATGGGTGTGAGTCCTGAACCCAACAACAACAACAACAACCACCACAACAACAACAACCACAACCACAACCACAACCCCAACCACAACCACAACCACAACAACAACAACAACAACACCAACAACAACAACAACAACAACAACAACAACAACCAATACAGCACATTGGTCTAAGTCCAAACTGTTTCTGGTATTCTCACATACTGAGTCTGAGACATCAGTTTTCTATTGCAGTTCCAGCATCAACAGCATCGAGCAAATTATTGGTGATCAAGACCCTAGCATTGCCAATGAAGCAAACAGATGCACATGATGATATGTTCAAGAATCCGGCTTTTCAGCTGAGAGCAGCCGACCCAATCCTGCCTTAGTCTCAGTACCTTGTGCTGGTCCGTGGTGTATCCTCCATTTCAGGACCCATCAACTCCAGGTGTGCCCCGTGGTACTTGCCTTACAAGCACGGGTAAGCCTGCCTATCTTCGGGAAAAGTACCCTGACGCCCGCGTCAAGTACAGCAAGATAAAGGCACAATAATTTGCTAAGCACAGCTTTGTGAAATTGAGGAATCCGCATAGTGGAAACTGATGCAACACCTGAATTCTTCTTCACCAGGCATTGATTTGTTAATTTTTGAGTCAAAGCACTTGCTGGCAACACGATTTCGTTTGGAGGTTGGAACAATCGGGTCAACCTTCGGGAGCACAGAAGATGATGATGACGATGATGACGGGATTTGGGACGATGACCGGAGACTCCAGGAGATCCACGTTTGAGGGCGTGATTTGAACCATGGCCCCCTTGACCCTCTGACTTTCACTGTAATCTGTGGAAGCTCCGAGGTCCCCGCAATCAATTAGGGCTAATATGGCCCTGTTGTGCTGGTCCAGGCCGTACAGGCCCAGAATGATTGGCTGGTGCATTTGGGGTCTCTGCTGGACTTGACAAAGTCACTAGTCTTGAGCTTCGCACTGCGGTGCATCGAATCTATGCAGAGAGGTTTTCCGAGCACCATGATAGCCATGTGAATTCGACATATGCACGAGCATGCGTGACCTTCCCTCGGCATTGATGTGGCACTAAGCAGCCGCATTCTGCCGGAAGCCATATAGACTATGTCCCTTTAGGACAAGCACTGAATAGCACTGATGATACTTGCGCGAGACTGAAGTCCTTTAGACGCGACATGCGCTCATCGTTTCTTCAAAAAGGTGACATGTGATGAATGTAATCTGCAGGATTTTGACACCAACTACTGTCATAATGTCATACGTTTGAACGTTCAGTTCGAAAGGTAAGTTTCCCTAAAAATCTAGGAACCAAATGAATAGTGCGAGCGCTTCTTCGAGGAAGCTCCCCCTGGCCCTCAGGCGGGGGGGGCTACTATCTAGCTTACCTCTTCTATATCGGCCTACCTGCCCCCGGGCTAAAGAACAAGAAAGGGGCTTTTCACGCCCAGGACGACTGGACGGAGGTCTCCGAGTCCTCCCGAGTGGCCCGGCGTCCCACCTGCGACTTAAACGGCTTTGAGGGTTCTGACATCGCCATGTTTCTTAGAACAATACATTGTTGAGTGTGCTTAGGTGCATGCACGCTGCATACGGTTCTTATTTTTTGAGTTTTCAAAGGCTCGGACTGTGGTGCCAGGCCTGGCTTTGATGCTTGTCCGTGGCGCCCAGCGAGAGGAGGCGAAGATGTGATGTGAACGATCAACAAACGTGACATTTTGACAGAGACTCAGTCAGAACTAGAAGCAAGAAGCTATTAGGGGCTCCTGGCATCGCTACTAGGAGCAAGGATGCTACTAGGGGCTCCTGGCCTTACTACTAGGAACAAAGAAGCTACATCGGTGAAAAAACGTGTACCTTTTGCATCTGTACATCGATACATCAAGGTGTCAAGTCCGCAGTTTGTTCACAGTATTTTGGCTTTGAGTGTGGTGACTGGGTCGAACAGCAGAAACAACCGGGATTGAATTTGGCAATGCTTCGAGTTGCTGGACTGGTAGCTTGCACCTTGGCGCAGCAGCCAGGGACCCATGTGGAGGAGAAACGTTGTTGGGGGAAACGGACATTAAGACTGCCCGTCTAGCTGAGTCTAGCTCGTTGTCAATATTGAGTAGGCTCCTACTCCTATCCTACATTCTTTAGAATCCTGAACATTCTTCTGTTTGGGCAATCTATTCTGAGT